TACAAAGAAATAATGTTGGTTATCAAAATCATTTTCAAAATCGTTATACTCCACATGTCTCAACTCAAAAAACAACACGAAAATTTGAAAATTAACAAGTATAAGGATGAAAGTTCGAATCTTTCAAGCCTGCTACAACTTTGTTTCCAAATCCACCCTCGAAACAATCTGTAAAATCTTCATTTGTTAAAGGAACAACGAATGTGAAGAACATCAATCACTAGTTGGAAGGAAAAGGGAAGAAATTTCAGTGTTCGAAATTCTCACAAGAAGTGATTAAGGAGGAATATGAGAAGTATTTGAATGACTCATCGCAAGCAAGTTCATCTTCACAAGAGTCGGATATATCTATTAAACAATGGAAAACTCTACCAAAGGCATCGGTTGTTGTGAAATAAGCTGTGAAGGAAAAGGAAAAAAATCAATGTTGATTTTAAACCAAAGAATAGTTACTTTTATGTGCCTTTGACTAATGAAGTAGACTCAGTTGATAGTCTTAAGTCTAAAGTTCGTAGCTGGATTTAAGGATCTTTGTTTCAAAATATTTTTCAAACTAATAACCGAGGACCCAAACAGCCTTGGGGACCTAACTTCTTTCATTAATTACAGGTTTTGTGTGATGAGCAATATGATGAACAATGGTATATTGATGGTGGTTGCTCTTGACACATGACTGGTCGAAAGGAGAATCTTCGTGATTATCAGACTTTAGAGAATTCAGGAGTCGGAAGTTTGAAAACAATCACAAATGTCATGTTTGAAGCTATGGGAAAATCACTAATGAAAACTTCACAGTCAACAGAGTAGCATATGTCGAAGGTCTTCAACATAACTTGATAAGTGTTTCGCAACTTGTTGTGGGCACTAGCAATAAAGTGGTGTTTAATGAAAAAGGCAGTGTGATTTCAAACATTCAGACAAAGGAAGTCTTGCTCAAATCCAAACAAAAAGGCGACATGTTTACTCTTGATATCAATCCCATTACTGGGAAAACCTTAGTGTGCTCACTCTCGAAAGCTTCCTCAGATGTTAGTTGGCTTTGGCATCGAAGGCTTTCACTTTTGAACTTTCGAAATCTTAACAAATTGGTGGTACAAGATCTGGTAAGAGGTTTACCTATTTTAAAGTTTGATAATGATACTTTATGTGCAGCTTGTGAACAAGGGAAGTAGCATAGACAAGGTCATCCAGTTATCATTGATTCAAAGATTGTTGAACTATTGGAATTACTTTATATTGACCTATGTGGACCATCGACTGTTGAAACTCTCAACAAGAAACGGTACATTTTGGTTATTGTTGATCATTTTTCTCAGTTTACTTGGGTTTATTTTCTCAGGGTAAAATATAAAGTTTCTCAAGTACTGATAGATTTTATCAAGAAAATTCGAAACGAGTTTGAAGAAGAAAGTTCAAAAAATTAAAAGTGATAACAGCTCTGAATTTAAGAACCAAGTTCTTGATTCGTTTTTAACTGACAATGAAATTTCGCATAATAGGTTGGAACAAAGCTGAGTCATTCGTTAGACAAATCTGCTATGGACACCACGTTGTACCGAAGCATGATAGGTTCGTTACTTTACCTTACGGCTAGTCGACCTGATATCATGTTTTCTGTGTGCAATTGTGCCAGGTACCAATCAAACCTAAGAGAACCACATCTCACTGCAATGAATAATATTTTTTGATATCTAAAAGGAACCATTTCGTTAGGATTATGGTATCCTTCGAAAACATGATTGTTTATTCAAGCATTCTCTGATGCTGACTTGGGGGGGGTTGCAATTTAAATCTCAAAAGAACAAGTAGTGGATGCCAATTACTTGATGGGAAGCTTGTGAGCTAACAATCGAAGAAACAAACAGGTGTTTCGATTTCGAAGGCAGAAGCAGAATATGTGGCTGCTATAGCTTGCACTTCACAAATTATTCGGATCCAAAGTCAACCGCATGATTATGCAATAAATATGATGAAAATTCCTTCGTATTGTGATTCACAAAGTGCCACACACATTTGTCACAATCCTGTGCAACATTCGAAAACCAAGCACATTGCTCTTCGTTATCATTTCATCAAAGATCATGTCGAAGATTGGAATATTGAAGTTCACTTTGTAAAAACAACTGATCAGTATGCTGATATATTTTACAAAGCCTTTAGATGAAAAATCATTTATGAGAATTTTGGCAGGTCTAGGAATGATCGAACGAAGTTCAGTTCCTGGGTCCGATTCGAAAGAATGATAAGGCGGAAATGGAGGACAACTTTCAGAGTCAAAGGTTACTGTTCATAGTCAACGCTTCGACATGCTTCGCTTTCGATATCATGCTGAGTGGCTAAACGAAAAATCTTCGCAAGTTTGGTACATTTACTTTTCCTATTTTCGATTTTTTTTGTAATTTCTTTTCGAAAAATAAAAAATAACAAAAATATCTTACTTTTGTTTTGTCATTCAATTTCAAAAAATCAAAATAACAAAAACATTTTACTTTTGTTTTGTCTTTCAATTTTCGAAAAATCAAAAAGAACAAAGTTATTTATTTTTGTTTTTTCTTTAATTTTTAAAAGATCAAAACCTCCAAAAAGATTTTCTTAATTTTTGATTTTCTTTTTTAATACAAAAAATATAAAAATATTTTCTAGTTTTTTTTTGGTGTTTGTATTTCATTTTATTAATGAAGCTTTACGCGAAGATCTTCAATAGTTCATGCTTGTAGTTCTATGGTCAGGTATATTTTTGAAAAACTTTGTACTAGTTAGGATGTCCCTAGATGCATGCTGCAACATGTTGACCCAAGCCTCCTTTGACTCAATGTGTGTTTTCGAAGCCTTAATGTAGTTTTCATCACAAAAATTTCTTCCCAATCAGGCTGTATTAACATCAGTCCTTGAGCTACCTTACTCTTCTCATTTGAGTTAAGAGTTTCCTGCTTGGTCCATATATAGTAGACATATCAAAAATTTCTTCCCAATCAGGCTGTATTAACATATGTCCAAAATATTTTTGGTATAAACCGATCAGGATCTAGACATATCAAAAATCTGTGTTTATGATCTAACATCATTGGACCGTGATGAAAGTGAAACCCTAAATGTCGAACAACTTTAAGGAATTGATGGGGAACTTTGTTCCAGAATTAATGAAACATTTTTTTCAATACCTGTTTTCTATACTCAAAATCATATTATTTTCTTTGTAGTAATCTTGATCAAATGTTCACAACCCACGACATTTGTTATCCAACAAGATTTTAGACTACTTTTGGTTTTAATAATGTGATTTATGTCTGAGTATCATTCTTAACCTTCTTTTCTTGATAAAATTTACAAAGCTTACTTGTCAGTGATTATGCTGGTCAAACAGGTAATTTCGTTTACAAATTGACACTCATATGTTTTGTAGTGCATTGTAAGGAAATTTTAAGCCACCTTCGAAGCCATACAAAAAGAAGCCCTTCAATACTTATCAACAAGTATTTGATTGTAATTCACGGGAAACCACACAAGCACTTGATCATCTCTCTTGATGATTAATGAAGTAATCTTTGACTGGGATTTATCTGCATTTATGTCGAAATTTTATTTTCGACATCACAGATCCAAATTTTTCTTAATTTGCTTCTTATCTTTTTCCTTGACACACCGCACTCACGAAATCCTTAATTCTGGCGTATGACTTTGCTTTCAAACCCAAAAGTGAAAGAATTCCGAAGAGTTTTGTCCTTATTCATAAGTACTTACGAAGTGACTGTTTGGTAACTATGTGATTTTCTCGGAAATCGTGTTACACACTTTATTTGACAAGGCATATTTAACGGCTAATGGTGTAACTTTCAAGGCCCACGTGTATATGTCATTAATGGTAACCGTTTAAGATTCCAATTTGGGATACATATAAAAGGGGAAATTGGGTCTTCATTCCAATTTTACGCTTATTAAATATTACTAAAGAAGATTTGTGCTCTCATTTTTCTTTGTTCTTCACGATTTCAAGACAAACCCTAGTCATAGCTGCTCTTCAATTCAACACTACTGATGATGTCTCCTATCAGCCAATTATGAAGATTTAGAGTACCAACTTTCAATTTGATGGTGATGTTACTGTGTACCCCAAAGAACTCAAGATGCTAATAGTCGCTTTGAAACATTTCGTTTTATCGACTACGATGTTTAGTTCTTTTGAAGTCCTAATGTCTTGGATTTCAATTGCTGGTTCTACTGCCTCATATAGCAAGACGATGGATGCTATGACATTCAATCTTGTGAATGATAAGATGTTTCATCTTTCCCAGAAGTTGTTTGGCAAGATCCTTGAAATCCCTAATTCTCCACCATTCTACAAAGTCACAAATGAACAAGTGCTACATATGTTCAATAAGATGGGTTATAAACCCACTCTTATGAAGATCAGCGAGTTCAAGAAGTCTGGTCTTCCCAGTATCTGGAATTTCCTTTTTGGAATTTATCTTCGATGTCTCACAGGTCGAAGTGTTTTCTTGGATAAAAGGAGAATGGAAGTATATGCTATGGTAACCGGAATTTACTACGATTTAAAAGTAGACTATGCTACACATATGTGGAAAGAATTTTTAAAGAGTGTGGAAAATACAAATGTAGTGGATGGTATTTCTTGTGCAAGGTATTGGAGTTTAATTTTTTGTTATGCTTACAAGAAGGAAGGTGTTTTGGTACCAGCTGATGAACCAAAGGCTGAATTTGTGAGGTATCATTACCCAAAAACAATTAAAGATGATGTGAGTATATTTCCTTATGTTTCTCGAATTCCTGATGGTATGCTCAAGAAAGTAGATCCATCAAATCCTGTGTTGATGGCTTTGCAAACAATAAAGCCAAATGATGAATCTGGTGTTTTGTTGTCAAAGGATGCTGAAGGTCCTTCAAAGAAATTTTGCAAGTCAAAGAAAGTGGATGAATCTACTCCTGAGAAATCTGTTTAAAGGGAAAAAGTCACGAAGTCACCCAAGCAAAAGCCTACAGTAATGGTCAAAGTTTCGATAAAGTCTGACAAGCTTGTTGAGACTGAATATGTTGAGCCTACAAAGGAAATCATTCCTTCGAAAACTGGTGTATTCAAGCGTCTAAAAAAGAAAGCTCATAAGTTCTAAACTTCTCCTGAAAGGTCTTCTAGATTTTCTTCTTCTATAGTTTGAAATCCACATGTTACACGGAAAGGTTTCATCCTTCAAGAGGTTCCTATACCAGTTTCTCCATCTTCAAATAAACGACGGGCCAAGGATGTTGCAAAGCATATTTCCAAGAAGATGAAGAAGACGACATTGATCCTTCAGGACGACTCTATGAAAGAAGAAGAAGTTCCTGAAACTCCAAAGGGTGATGTTTCATCCAAAAAGAAATCTCACGTCAAATTGACTTTCGAGGAGATAGGAATTTCTAGTAGCTCTGTGAAAACTTCTACAGTGGACACAACTACTATTCTGGTTGATTCAACTAAGATATTAACTTCTAAGTTGATTTTGGTCATACCACCTGAGGTTTCGATATCCAAGTCATTTCTTGAGGAGCTTCGAACCTTAGACATCTCGACACACGTATCTGATATGGATGTGAATGTCAACATGGGTGAGGGAGTCTCCGAAAAAGAACACCCAGTGTCTACTCAATGTATTTTAGAAATCTCAATCATCACTACCAATACTTCTTTACCACCATTTATCACAACTGTTTCTACAACGACACATTCTCCAACTTTTGATCAAGTTATCAATCAACCCATCACTTCTCTTTTTCCATATCAATCCATTGATCCACCAAAACTTGTACATGATGATGACACTGATGATGGAGGATTTAGAGGATCATTTGTTGATCTCGAGTTTGATCCTGAAGAAGAAGACACACTAGACCACATGCTTATGTTAGGGAAACAGTACAAGATTCTCAATAGAAAGCTCAACTCTTTGTTACCGTCACAAGCAGATTCTAGCAGTATACACTCAGTATCTGGTATTGACGTCGACGTCATGCTCAAGGCTTAAGAGCTTCAACTTCAATATGAGTTGGATGTTTTGGATAAGAATAATGAACTTCGTATTAAAGCATAGTCTGAAACGTTCAATAATGAAATTAAGGAGCTACAGATGGTTGCGAAGGAACGACATGTTCTCTTTGTTAAGGATGTCAAGATAGTCGGAGAGGATGTGAATAGAAAGTTGGAAGAATTGAAGGTTGATGCATGTTTTTCGTAGATTTTTTTCTATTCCCAATATGGGTAGAAGTTGAAAAATGATCAATTTACATATTTTTAGATTATTTTTTTGATAGAATATAAGTTCTAAAATGAGGTTTGAAAAATAATTATATTGATCCTAAAAAAGGTATTATATATATATATATATATATATATATATAGAGAGAGAGAGAGAGAGAGAGAGAGAAAAGTGAATATATGGCTATCATATACGTAATATTAGGTATAGAACAATCAAATTTGACTTCATTAAAATACATAATTTTCTTTCATTGTTAGCTTTCGCCTAGTCCTTTTGAACTCATATTATTTTTGATTTCATGATCTACCCCCAAATTTATGTATTTTCAATGTGTTGTTTTTATTTGACCTTTAGTAGACTTCATAACTTCCTCCGACACTAACCATATGTATATTTGCACGGTTCTTTTTGATGGATTATGAGAATATGTTTATTGGGTTTTTTAATGAACACTTTCAATCTTTCACTATAGTTTTCTATATTTAAATTTAAATATGAAGATCTACAGGTAGTTGATAAAATAATTATGTACACCGTTTATAGTGTAAAATTATAGTTTTAAAACTCAATATATTCTATGTAAACAGCCTATCATAAGCTCTAACATAGGATGCAAGAAAGATGATAGAAAGATTTGATTGTATTTTATTAAAACAATATAATTTTTTATGGTTTTATATCTAATATAAGATATATAACAACCACATATTTCCTAAGCCTATATATATATATATATATATATATATATATATATATATATATATATATATATAATTGGTGATTTTGTTTCATCAATGCGTATTTAAGTGTAATGGATCGATTTATTGACCAAAAAACAATCATGATGAATATTAAACAAGTAAGGAAGGTGCGTAGTGCACACATGTTTAAGTTCATTCAAGATTTAAAGTAGACTGTCATTTAGGGGCAAAACCCCTAAACGAATGGGGGTCTAGGGGCAACTATGAAATCCCCAAATTCACAGTCATTTTAAAAATTTTATTTATGCTTATTTGAAAATCAGAGTATTTATTTTAAAGATTAATATTGCGGAATTTTTTCCCAGAAAACTTGATAAATATATATATTAAAGCATTTCCTAAGAAATGTATTTTGTTTATATTATAACTTTGAAATGTCATCATCAATACAGAAACATAAGCATAAACAAATCTTACATTCATTTACATTAGTGATTTACGTCTCCTTTAATCTCTCAGTGTAATGTAGCTTCGTATCGACACCTATGATACAAATAAACTGAGTGGGTTATGTTAGGAAACCTATTGAGTATATAGGGTTTTCATCCCACAATAATATAGTTAATTCGTTTCTTCACATAATTCATGTCAAACAATTAACCTGATTACCAATCCCCATTTACTTCATTTAATCTTCCCTAAAGATTTATCCTAAGGGTCATCCCCTACATCGTATTTACCTCTTATCTCCTTACATCGCATTTCCTTATATGTTTGTTCCTAAGGATCATCGCGCACATTGCATAGACAGTAATAATTCGGGGATTACTCCCCCAATACGTGTCCAATAAGGGTTTGGGTATCATCACATGAATACATAGTTACAACATCTCCTGAACTCGTAATTCATCATGTACAAGTTATGAGCCTGCTGGTGTTTCCACATGGCTATCTAGAATAGTGTGTGGTCGTCTATACTCTGGTAAATGACTACATCACCACATCGCAACATTGTGGGTCAGGTTATAGCATCTCCTCGTATCTCACATCACCTATTTTTCATCACTTATCTATAATCACCTAGTTATCACCCAGTTATCATCACCTTTTTCTCCTCGTATCTCACATCGCCTATTTATCATCACCTTTCTATCATCACCTAGTTATCATCACCTTTCTCTCATCACCCGTCGCTACCCAATATATATTTATAATTATAAAAGTACATATACGGTTTAAATCATGTAAACATGTATAAATCGTTCATCTAGCATAAAAATAAGGAACACAGATAATATGCACACATAGTACTAGGGATGAAAGTGGGTCCAAACCCAGACCCGATGGACCCGGACCCAGAAAACCCGGAACCGTTTAACGATATTTTTAAGAACCGGAAACCGGACCGGTATATAGGAACCGGGTCCGGTTCGATTCCGGGTAAAGTGGGTCTAGAACCGAAAAACCCGGAAATAGGAAGTGGGTAAAGTAAAACCGGGTCAAATGGGTTTAGAACCGGAAAACCCGGATTTTTTTTTATTACCCATAATCTTTCAACCGTTATAAAAAAATTAACAAACAAAAAATTACATTTAGGTTATTAGGTTATTGACGACATTGATTTATTTAAAAATAAATAAATAAATAGATATAACAATATTGGTTTAAAAAAAATGACATTTACATCATATCACAGTTACGTGCCTTATTTGATCAAGTTGAGTAGTTGACCCATTTTTTTATCATTGTATGTTGAATTTTTTTTTTAAAAGAAATTATGTATTTGACTATTGGATAATTTATTTTGGGTTGTGTGTTTTAATTTAAGATATGTTGAAATTCTAAATTGTTAGTTATTTATTTATTTGCAACCACACTAACTTGTTTTTTTGCATCTTTGACCTTGAAGGCTTTAACTTTGAAAATTTGAACATAAAAGTAAGAGACAAATTTTTTGACATTAGCAATCTTTTAATTTTCATGTTTTGTCAACATCTCACAACTTCTCATTATAAATAGGCCCTTCCACCTCTATATTTTCATTTAACTTATTATTCTCTAAGTTGAAGGTTTTGAGTTTTTTTTTTCTTTTCAAGAACATTCATGGAAGCTAACCTCCCAATTCAAGTATATTTCTTTTTAATTTTATACAAATATGCATTTAAAGTAATTGACTAATTTACGTCTTTATACTTCAATTAGGTTCCGTTTTGAATCTATTAGTTTTATAACTTTGATACTTCATTTTTTACATGCTTTAAATCTACCTAGATTTTTTTTACTTAATTTGTTTAGCATTTGAATTTGAAGGAGAGGTCCACATGTTGGCAACATTTTGATATGTTGTGGGTAGTAGAAAATTATGGGGTTGAACGAAGGCAAGCAAGGTGTAAGTATTGTTTCGCTACACTTAAAGCCGATTCATCAAGACACGGTACAAGTAGTCTTAATAGACATTGTCGTACGTGTGCCAAAAATCCGAATAATATAGCTAGGTAATAAGTTTTGTGCTTTTAATTTATTTGGTAACATTTTTTTTAATACTAAATATGTTTATTTTTGTTTTATGTATAGAGATTGAAGATGCGTTAACTCGACAAGATGGTCAAGGAATAAGTGTTGTTTTGTTCTTAATTGTTTAAGAATTTTGATTTGAATTGTTTTGAATATTAAACTTTGATTTTGAATTGTTCAATAGGTACCATGAACTTGGACCCAACCATTTTCGCTTGTGTTATGTTCTTTTCATTATTATTTTACCACAATATGGATAAAAAGTAACATTCATTAAAATGACGAAAGTCTTTGATTAAAATAAAAGTAATAAAAAAATAATAAAGTGGAATGTGGATGTGCATGCATTGATTAAAATATCATTCATTTATACTTGTTTACACCCACATGCACAATTGCACAGTACCAAACAAGTAAATTTGATTCAAGTTCAAAAACATTAATCAACCAAAACAAACACTTACAAACCAATAATCATTTATCGACAAAAAAAAAATAGTATAACTACTCGTTAATATCTATCGGCCTTTTTCCATTTCCATTTTGGGTGCGTATGGCGTCTTCCAACTCTAATACATATCATAAAAAAAATTAATATGAAAGTTAGCATATAACCAATGTTTTGTTATTAGATAATAAAATGAATTTGTTTTCTACCTTTAGCTATGTCATCATCTTTAAGAATATCATCGATGTTGTCAACAATTGGCTTCTTTGATTTCCTCACCCAATCTTGGGTGCAAACCAAAGCCTTTATTATAGGTGCGGACAAGTTTGCTCGGTAATTATCAATTATGCGACCGCTTGTACTAAAAGCGGACTCGGAAGCCAAGATAGATATTTGAATGCCCAAAAGATCTAATAACATAAACATATAATGTTAAATTATACTACATTATAATAAAAAATATAAGTAATTAAAATTATACCTTTTGCCATCCGCGAGAGAATTGGGTAACGAGATGCATTATTTTTCCACCAAACCAATATATCAAAGTCCTTAACGCCTTGGGTTTGTCCTTCGTTCAAGTATCGTGTTAATTCCGTTTCCTTTGAAGCCGATGAATTCACCGATTGAGCAAAATAGTCACCTATAAAGTCGTCATCATCATCAACATGCACAACATCTTGACTACCACCGGTTTCAAATGGTACATTAGAGTTGGTATTGTAACAATTAAAAAAGTTCTCAAATCTCGATTCGATATCCTTGATTAAAGACTTAGTCTTCGCAGTAATATCTAATTCGGAAAGGGGTTTATTTTCCGGCATCTTGTACTTGATCAATGTTTCAAAAGCATGTCTAAGAAAATATGTCTTCATTCGCGGATCCAAGATAGTCGCAAAGTACATGTAGTCATTCAAAATTTTAAAATCTCCCCAATACTTCTCATATTTGTCTATCATATCCTTCCCAATTGAATAAAATCTTTTGTTTTTTGACCAAACCCGTATATGTTTGTAAATATCACATACTTCTCCAAAAAACCGATTTGCCAATGGTTTTGAAGTCGTCGACACCAATTCTGTTTTCACCTTGAACTTCTCAAG